AAAGGCCCCCAGGATGCCCCAAGAGGACCCCAAGAAACTTCCCATCCTCGTCCTCATGTTCTTCCTCTCCTCCTGCTCCATCTCCGTACCGTGCGGACGAAGCCGATGTCGGGATCACGACGCTCCCCAATTCAAACCTCGACATCCTTCCTACCGCGCGGACGAAGACGAAGTCGAATTCCCTACCCGTCCTTATCAGACCACTCGACGGAAGTGCGTTGTTCCTACACCCAGCCTCCTTCCTGCGGTGCTGTTGACCACGCGCGGTGGCGAGGGTTGCCGCAGGCAGCTGGATATCTTACACAACATGGCTCAGACTGCACAACTTACACCGCATAGCTCACACAACATAGTTCACACCACATAGCTCACGAAACACACATGCACAGCCACACAAACATCGTACACATCATAGCCTGCACAACATAGCATGCACCACGGAGGTCACTGCGTAACTTACACCGCATAGCTGTTACGGTGTAGTCTCCGTCTCCACAATGCAAACACTCACTTTGGGGGGTCCACGCTGGCTGGCATGTTCATTCAAGTGTCGCACATATCCGACAAAAACACTGGGGGGGGGGAACAAACACATCCTGAACATGGAACATTTGGAAACATCCATGGCACCTACTCTATCACTCGACTAGGCAGGGGGTGAGATGCTCAGTGAGACTGATGGGGGTTGGGGTCGAGGGGGGATATGGGAGGATGGGGAGGGGGAGGCGAATGAGGGGGGACACGAGGGGCAGGGGGAAAGTGCAGGAAGATGGCGGAGGATGCAGGAGGGGGAGGATGGTGGGAGATGGGAGGAGGAAAGAAGGAGAGCGGGGGCAGGAAAGAATCGAGGCTGGACGGTTCCGAGAATGGTCGCCCCTGCCGGGGGAAGGGATGTCGGCGAGGACGGGGCGAGGAATGCGGTCGGCGACGACGGGGACAACGCGGGAGGGGAGGGGGGGAGGGGAGACGCAGGAGGGGGGCATGGAAGAGAGGGTGAGGGCCCCTCCGCCCCCCACCCCCCACCCTTGACCTCAGCTCCCCCTGCCCCTGCAGCACCCAGAGTGCGCGGGCGCTTCAACGACGCTGGCTGCTGGGGCCACGGCCAGGAAACTCGAATACGTGACGCGGCTGTCCCAGATCCGCGCAACCCCGGAGGAGTCAGGAGACGCGGATGGCTGTCAGGCTTCCCACCCTCCGAGGCCACCCCATCACCTACCCCAATGATTCGAGTAGGGGATCGACTACAGAATTGATTTACCTCAAAATTGAATTGTTCGCCGAATCCATGAGACATGCACCGATGTTGCGATCTACGAACATTCTGCGTATGAGCGTACATTTCACAACAGAGCTTACATCACACAGCTTGCATCCCACAGCTGTTACCCCAAGTTCAAGCCGCATGTCTCCCATGGCACATCTCACCCCACATGCCTTACAGCGCATAGCTTCCACGTCCATAACTAACACCACGCAGCGTTCATCACATGATTCACACCGCATAGCTTCATCGCATAGCCTTCATCCAATGACCAACTTTCGGGCGTTGGCAGAACTGGCTTTAGTGGGACCTGGTTCAGTGATGTGTTCTGGGGGACGCCCCCCCCCGCCCCGTTCCGCTGACTGGAACTGCCCTGACCCGAAGAAACACCGCCTGCGGCAAGCCCGGCTTCGTGATTCTGGTCAAGGGCTCCGGGGCCCTACCACTAACCGGGTCCCCTTGCCTGGGGCCCTGGCCATACCCGAAACTTTTGAGCAGGGACCGACCGTCCCGGAATTCCTATAGTCCTACCACGACATGTTCTTAGAACCCAAGAATGTTCTAAGAACAAAACCAAGGTTCTTAGAACATGAACCCGATGTGATAAAACAGGACAGTCCCAACCAACAATGTTCTAAGAACAGGTGGTGCAATAGATTTGGGGCAATTGTATTGCAAGTGTTTCACCGGAGAATTGTAGTGCACAGTATTGCAAGTAACGTATTGCACGCGAAAAGCCAGCAATACATCTGCGCCCCGCAATGTACTGCACGCCCCAAATGCATTGCAACCCCACAAACCTATTGCACCAAATCCATTGCACCACCCCCTTGTCGCTGGACCCCCTTCTGGGTCTTATAACATTGAACAAAAATTATGTTCTTAGAACATAAGCCCGATGTGATAAAACAGGACAGTCCCAACCAGAAATGTCCTAAGAACATCTCGTGGATACCACTAAAGGTTCCTAGAACAGTGTCTGGTAGGGCTATAGCCGAGCCGCGACGCCTCGCCACTGCTTGAAACTTGCTCTGGCTACAGCACCGGCTGGGTGCTCCAAGTGCTCGCCACGCTGCGGGCCCGTGCCGCCTCGTGGGCGCCCGGCGCTCGGGGGTGGGGTATGCTATAGGGTTGCGCCACGCTGTGGGCCCCTGCCGCCGCGTGGGCGCCCCATCGCCCCAGTGGCTCCGTCCCGAATTTACATCGCATATCGGGCCGGGCGAACGGGGGGGATAGCAAAGGGGGGGTTGAGAATCAGCTCACGTAGCTGATTTTCCCGGCGTCTCCCGGCGCCTGGAGGCGCCCATGTATCGAGGAATGGGCCCCGCAGCGGGGCCGAAACCATCTGCATGCAGCAGATTTCGTCCCCCCCCTTTCCCTATCCCCCCCTTTCGTTCGGCCCGAGCATAGCTTACACAGCATGACTTGCACCGCAGACGTTAAAGCGCAGAGTTTCCACCTCCATGGCTCGCATCGCGTAGTCTGCATGAAATGGCGTTCACCACATGGTTTACACCGCACAGGGTTCACTGTTTGGGACCCACGTTGGCAAAAACAGACACACACACACTTGCAAATACATGGAATGAACACGCATGTTCACATCCGTAAGGGCTTCGCCCCCTGCCGCCGGCCCCCGTCTCTTAGAATGGGACTTGCCAGAGCTGTGTTGAGATGTCAGGGCGCTGACATGAAGCAACGTCGAGACTTCACAAACTGCGGAATATCTTACAACTACGAATAATGCGTAATGTTCAATGGTTTATGCTTTCGGGAGCGCGAGTATTGCGTAAGTGTAAAAGGTTTATGGCTTCGGGGACGCGAATATTGCGTGACTTACAATGGTTTATGGCCTCGAGGACGCAACTATTGCGTACTTTACGAGGTGGTATGATTTCGGGGACGCGAATATGGCGAATTTGCAAAAACCTGTATGGCGTCGAAGGCGCGAATCTTGAATCATTTACTAAGGTTTATGGCCGCGGGGACGCGAACATTGCGTACTTTATCTTCAAATATGGCGTCTGGGACGCAAACATAGTGTAATGTACAATTGTTTATGGCCTCGGGGACGCACAGATCGCGTAATGTACGAGGGGTTATAACTTCGGGGACGCGAATATTGCTTAATTTACTAAGGTGTATGGCCTCGGGGACGCAAATACGGCGTCATGTACTAGGGGTTATGGCCTCGGGGACGCGAACATCATGTTTTTTTATGAGTCCCGCGTCCCGAATTCTGAGAACCCTCCCAAGGCGTGGTACAAAAAATCCCGTTTGGGGCTCCCACCCATCGCGCGGACAGCATCAATTGACAGTAAGGAAGCAGAACCCAGGGCTAGAATAGTAGAAGCTGGAAGCTGCAACTAGAACATCGAGCTGCAATCTTCACCCTCGCAGCCTGGTGGTCCTCAAGGTGACTAGCGGATATGAATATAGCGTATCAGATGTATATGTGCCCACGCGCATGCATATACGTGTATATGTATACATAGATATATATAGAGAGAGAGAGAGACGTTGATCAGCTGCCTCGATTACTTGATGCACGTGCTGCAAGTTATGGTTACACACATATGTAAGCCTCGACGTTGCAGCGTGAAGCCAACAACAATCTGGAGCGCGCTGCCTCTTGAAACGCTGAGTAGTTACCATCGTGGATGTCTCGCATATGTTTGAGCGCGTGGATGTGATGTTCGCGCTTCCCATGCGCGCGCAAAAGACGACAATCAAATACCATGGGGACGAGAGGGGATGAGGGCAATACAGTGCGGGCGCGGCCGCAAGAAACCCTCGCAAGAAACCCAACCCTGAGAACCCGTGCGCGAGCTGCACCTGAGGGGAAACCTGGAGCACCCTGAACGCAGCAGTTCCTTCAACGGCTGCGGGAAGTCACCGCGCAGCGCGAGGAGCGAAGAAGCCCACCATACCCTGACGAAAAGCACATGGTCTCTTGATGCGCGCCCCCACTGTGTCTGTTGCCGCCGCGGCTGGTAAAAGCTCGGTAAACAAAGCCATGGACGGTGAGGAGGGAGGAAAGGCCAAAGGGAAACGAGGGGAAGTGAGGAGAAGCAGACAGGGGAAGGCGAAGGCGAGGATGGGGGAGAGACTGGCTCTCAACGCACTGCGCGTGAGGTCCGCAGGCCCTTCCGGTCCAGGAGGCGGGGGGCCGAGTGCACTTGCCTGGGGCAACCCGCTGGCCTGAGCGGTGCCCCTTCGTTGTCCCCCGTGGCTCTCCAAACGCACAACGCCCAAGGCGTCTGCGGCGTGGCTGGTGGTTTCGGACTGGTCGTTTGGTTCCGCGGCTGCTGATTGTACTGCCAGTCGAGCGACCGAGCCATCAAAACTGGTTGCGTCCCAGGCAGTGCGCGCCTGCCCGAACCATTCGTCCACACGCCGCGCGCAGCGGTTTCTGATCTGGGCAACCCTGACACCGAACGGGCACCAGACCGCGAGCTCATGGAGCCTGGCTTTGGCATAGAGACGGTTCCATCGGGAGGAATAAGGGATCAGAACGTAACGGTATCATTTCTCAACTTCGCCTGCTCTTCCTCGTACCCATCCCTCTGCTTCGCCCGTTCCTCCTCCCCCTTCCGTTCCTACTCGGTTTCCTCCTCCTCGATGTCCTGCTCTGCTTCCTCGTTCTCACCCTGCTCCTCCTCCTCCTCCTCCTCCACCTCCTCCGCCCTCGCTTCCGCCTCGTCGTCGTCCTCCTCCTCCTCTTCAACATTCTCGTCGTCCTTCTCCTTCTCCTTCTGCTCATCCCAGCCCTGGGAAGTGGGCAATTCGTCGATCAGAGTGGCTGGAGTGGCTGGCGTAAGCCGCGCGGACGTCCGCCAAGGCGCGCATCAGCCTGTCGGGGGCGGTGGCGCACGCCGGCCGCCGGGCAATCGACGGGCGGGTTGGGGGGAGGGCAGCGGCCCTGCCTGTCTCGAGGTAGCCTCCCGCTGCTCCTCGCGGTCCCCCCGCGTCCTCAGCATCGTCCTTAACCAGCCTCGAACGCATCCCTATCCCTAAGATGGGCGAGAAAACACCGAGGACGATCTCAGGGACAGGCCCTCAGAGTCTGCGGGGATCCTCAAGATCGGCATCGAGGTAAGATGATATCAGACATAGAGATAGGGATATGTTTCAAACTGGCAAGTCCTCTGTAGCCAGGGAGATGGGCAGGTGCCAGGAGTGGCGGGCCAGGAGCAGCGACGGGGGAGGAGGCTGGGAGGCGGAGAAGGGCGTGAGGGGGGACCGAGGAAGGGCAGGAGGCCAATGCATTGGGGGGGGAGGGGAGGAGGGAGGAGGAGGGAGGATAGGAGGAGAGGGAGGGAGGAGGGAGGAGAGGAGGAGGGGGGAGATGGCCGAGGGGGGAGGAGAGGAGGAGGATGGCCGAGGAGGGGAGGATGGGGGAAGCAGAGGGCCGAGGGAGGGAGAAGGGAGCGTGCAGGAGAGACACGTGCTAGGAGGAAAAAGATCCGCCACCGTGCCCTGAGGCAGGAATGAGTGTCCTCAGGTCATTGGCCGGAGCCCTCAAGCCCCAGTCCTCAATCCTCGGTGGGAAGAAGTAGGTAGAAACATGAGGTAGGAATGCGTTGAAAGAAGATTGGGTGTCCGCCCGCCCCCGAGGGAGGACGGAAAAGGTGAAACCACTCGATCATTGAAGTAGGAAGGCGCCGAAAACATTTTGGAATCTGGGAATCCGGAAATACCCACTTTCAGCGACCGATGGATAGTTCAGGGGCCCAGACTCCAAAACTGCCAACTCTCCTGTGGCTCCAAGCATGTCTTACCGCACGAATTGTCCGGTCCCAAGAACCCAAGACGGGCTAGGAGGGCCGAAAGTCACCACACGATCGGTCCAAGACGCCCACGATGGCCCCAAGACGGCCCAAAAAGCCATCGAGGCGCCCCAAGAGAGCCCCGAGAGCTTCCCCGAGAGGGCCCCAAGAGGCAAACAGCATGGATTGCACCGGGGTGTTTCAATATTTTGGGGCCCTCAACTTTTTGAGCGTCCGACGCTCCAAGACGGCCCAAGGGGCCCTGAGGACGGCCCCAAGAAGACCCAAGAGGGCCAACACACGACCAGGGAGGGATCCAAGACAACCCCAGAGGGCGCCCAAAACGGCACAAGAGGACTCAAAGACAGTCCCAAGAAAGGCCCAAGCGGGGGGACACGAACCGAAAATCCGAGTCTTCCGCCTAAAGAGGTTCCCAGGAGCCCACAAGTGAAGGGGCCCTGGGACACGCAAACATAATACACACAAATAAAAGGATCCCCCATCTGTTCCCATATTTTCTCTCTTTTTTTTCCCAACCATTATGTGGTGTTGGGTCCTCGTTTCGAAGAGACGGTGCCCAGCGTCTCCTTCCTTCCTTCCTTCATCCTCCCCCTCCTCCCTTCTCCCCCTCCTTGCCTCTGCTCTCGGCACACCTCTCACACGTTTCGTAGCCCCATAGGGAGCTCCACCGAAAACCTCAGTGGGGGTGTCCGCATGCGGTTCCCCCACCCAGGGCAGCGCTTCGTGGCCCCATAGGGAGCTCCACCGAAGGCCCCAGTGGGGGTGTCCGCATGCGGTTCCCCCACCCAGGGCAGCGTGTCGTGGCCCCATAGGGAGCTCCACCGAAGGCCCCAGTGGGGGTGTGCGCATGCGGTTCCCCTACCCAGGGCAGCGTTTCGTGGCCCCATAGGGAGCTCCACCGAAGGCCCCAGTGGGGGTGTCCGCATGCGGTTCCCCCACCCAGGGCAGCGCTCCGTGGCCCCATAGGGAGCTCCACCGAAGGCCCAAGTGGGGGTGTCCGCATGCGGTTCCCCCACCCAGGGCCGCGCTTCGTGGCCCCATAGGGAGCTCCACCGTAGGCCCCAGTGGGGGTGTCCGCATGCGGTTCCCCCACCCAGGGCCGCGCTTCGTGGCCCCATAGGGAGCTCCACCGAAGGCCCCAGTGGGGGTGTCGGCATGCGGTTTCCCCACCCAGGGCAGCGCTTCGTGGCCCCATAGGGAGCTCCACCGAAGGCCCCAGTGCGGGTGTTCGCATGCGTCTCCCCTGCCCAGAGGTAGCGCCACCGAAAACGATATTCATATCTGCGGCATTCACAACTGCATACGGTTGGTTCCTTCGCCAGGCTAATTTTTGTCTCCCTCCCACTTCCCATATTTTCCGTATTTCCTGGGGGAATCGACGATTCAGTGTGTCTGTGTGTTCTTTCCCCTCCTGAACAAGGCAGCAGCGTGGCAACTCCTCGGCCGGCCGGTCCAGGTTCCCCCCGCAGCGGGGAGGAGCAGCCCCGAGTCCCAGCAGTAAGGTTAAGTCGGGCCTGTCCCCCTACAGGGGGATTTTCGACGAAACATAAAAGATACCCCCCAAAGAATCCCAAAATATGTTGGGGGCTATGTTTTGAGTATCGTTTGACCTTTTTGGTATATGTTTGGGTATTTTTGTTTTTCGTCGAGAATCCCCCTGTAGGGGGACACGCCCGACATAAGGTTAAGGCATGACAGGTCAGCACTCGAAACCCAATGCGTGAAAACGCAGTATGCGGGAAGCACGAGGGACCCCCTCGCACACAACGGAGGGAGGGAGAAGATCAGCACTCATGTTGGGGAATTGTGAGAGGGGATGGGGGCCAGAGGGCGGACGAGACGGGGAGGGCTGGGATGTACAAGCAACCCACCATTGATGCCATGTCATGTCGTTCGGAGACACCCTCCCTACTTTGCAAAAATGGCCACAAACTGCCCTCAATTGCACATCGATCGAACCACTTTGCAACACTCGCCGTGAGCGATCGGATCGGGCCACAGCAAGAAAGAGTGGTCGACTCCCCTTGCGGCCCAAGACGCGCCAATCGATGTCGGGCAAACGCATCGCCGCACATCATCGACTCGCACTGGCCATGGACATCCGCGTCCCCTTGTTGCAAGTCGCCCTGGACTGTGACTGATCTCACCCCCCCTTCCTGACCATCCACACTAAGGGCTCGAACAATGTGCACCATGTAGCTCCGCAGAACACCCGAATGCTTGTAGCCATTGCCATCCCTGCTCCCAAGATCTCCGACGACGTGTCGATGCTGCTTTTTGTTTCGAACCGCTACCCCCTAGAACTCTCGTCAACTCACTCGAACGGGCTATTGCATGGAAAGATGTTGTCTGACAGCGGAGATTAACCTCCAATGTGATCTTGTAAGCCTCCATTGCGAACAAGACTTGTATCCATATGCGTTGCGTCTTGAAATTTCGAGCTCCCTTCCCCAGAAACCAGAGGCGCAGTGAACATGGATACAAGTCAGGCTCCCTAGAGGCTACATATCATCCATATCCGCTGCGCGTTGGCCTTTCGGCGACACTTCCCAGAGAATTCCAAAACGCAGTGGACATGGACGACAAAAACTTGCCCTCACCCGTAGGCATGGGGGAACAGGCAATGACATGAACACAGAAACCCGGATGTCCGCGCGGATTCCTCGGATCGGCGCTGGGACACCTCTGGCGGCGGCGCCTCCGGCGCCGCCCCTGGCTCGCTCCGCGCGCCAGGGAGAGGGGTCCAGCCTCCATCGTCCCTCTCCTTCTCCGACGACGACGACGACCCGATTTCGAGCCTGTCTGCGTCCTCCTGCGCCAGCGCCGCTCCGTCCTGCCGGCACGCCTTCAGCAGCGCCTCCTCCCAGAGGGAGGATGGAAGTCCCTCTCCTCCTGCTTCTCTTGTCCTTTCCTCGCCCCCCTCTATAGATTCGGGTGAGGACAACTCGGGAATCTCTGAGCTCCGGCAGCTCTGGAAGATGTCTCGGGCGCCGCGGCCTTCTCAGAGCGTTCTGGAACGCTCTGAGAGTGCTGCCGGACGCTCAGGAACGGATCGATCCTCGTCCTGGCATCATCCGCTGCGCCGTCCTCGCCCCCCTCTGCGGAATTACTTCGCCTCTCATCCGTCGCCCGTCCTGCTTCCCCCCCTGGGCGGAGAAGAGGGGTGCACGAGAACGCTGCACTCCAGACGCTAGAAATCCCAAAGGAATGCGAAACGCACACTGACGACCACCAGGAGCCCGTCAGTCCACACGTCCCTTCATGGGTCATTGCTTGACGACATGTAGTAGTTCAGGATGGAGGATGTAGAACGGATGAGGTGGGGAGGGGGGAGTAGGGACGAGAGAGGGAGGGACGAGAGAGGGAGTAGGGAAGATTTTTTTTTGTGGAGAGAGGGAGTAGGGAAGATAGATGGAGGGGGGGAGTGGGGACGAGAGAGGGATGAGTAAGGACGAGACAGGGGGGCGGAGCGGTCAAGGGAAGGTGGGGAGCAGGGGCGAGGAAGTGAGGGGGGAGAGCGCCATGATTGAGGGACGAGCGAAGGCAGTGGAGGGTTGACGGAGGAGGAGGACGAGGAGTATGACAGCGCCAATGGCAGTCCGCTTACTTACTCTGCACCTTCATGGGCACCTGTCACTTACAACTTCTCGATGCACTTCCTGCTTCCGCATTAGCAACTGGCCTTTATTTGTTCTCACGGGCCAAAGTCGGTGTTTTCTACCTGGAGGCCTCCAGCACCGACAGGATGCAACAAGCCAAGCACTTAACGTCCACTCAACGCTAAAAGGACGAGTATGACAGCGGTGAGAAGGATGAAAGAGAGACTGAGTAACCCCTGGACCCCTGGAGGCAAAGCGTACGCGCGAGGCCGAAGAGGCGACGAGACGAGACCGGCGCTCGTGGCCGTCGGAAGAGATGTTTTGGGGGGAGGGGGAGCGCTGCCCTGTCAGGCTCAAACTGCGCCAGCATGACAATTCTCGGAAATAAGGTATGCAACACGCGCCATCTTTCACCGCCGCGTCACTTCGTGGACAACATTGCGCGCACCTGTCGTTGGGAGGGAGGGGAGGGAATCGAAGGGACAAAAGGAGGTTGAGAAAAGGGAGATAAGAGAAGGCCCGTCTCGAATGGGAGGGAGAAGACGTGAATGCCATAAACCGGGGGGTCATACCCCCCTCCCCGTTCCTCTGCGGCTATGTATTGCCGCTTCGCCCGTCTTCGATCATCGCGCGAACGTGCGTCGCCCTCCCAGGAGGGCGCCCCCCACCCACGCCCCAAGGTGCCCGTTGCGGGAGCCGCGTGTGGGGGGGGGGGGTCCTGTACGTCGCGGACGTTCAGCGTGCCCTGGTTCGCGAGGTCGAGCGACAGGAAGACATCGCGCATCTGCGGCGCGGTGCCCCCGGGGAGCTCCTGCGCCACCACCTGTCGAGGAATGGAGATCGGGAGGAGTGATCGTCTCCACCACAACCTCAGCCGGGCCCAGCAGGACAGCAATGTATTTACTCCGGATTCCACAATAAAGTGGGGGGGTTACATTTGGCGTGGGGGTCTGATTTGATCTGTCTTGAAGGGTTAGGGGGGGTCTGGGCGAAGTGCCGCCCTTTCATGGATGGTCTGGGGGGGTCTAAAACTTGTGGTCTGGGAGGATTGTGACCCCCTCCCTTTTTTTACGAAATCTGGAGTATTTGCACGTGCTCTGGAAACCCGTGCAGCTCCCAGGGAGTCCCTCGTCGCCACGTTCGGGCTCGCCTCGAAATCCTGGCCACGACGCGTTCCAGGACATCCGCGGGGCTCGAACCAAGCCTGGCAGCGGCCTCGGCGGACATCCGCTCCCGCCCACAGGAGGATTGTCTCCCTACAGGAGGATTAGGTCAATTTGTCGGGTCAAGCAGGAAGATTGTCTCCCTACAGGAGGATTGTCTCCCTACAGGAGCATTGTCCTCCCTACGGAGGGCTTGTCTCCCTACAGGAGGATTTTAAAGGAACAAAAGAAAGTTCGAAGCAAATGTCCCCAAAGTGTTCAAAACTAGTTGTTGTTTCTATTTGTTGAGAAAAACCTAAATATTGTTTATATTATTTTTGAATATTTCTCCTGTAATGGGACGGGCCCGACTTGAGGCCAGGCTCCGCGCCCGCCGGGTCCAACCAAGGCGCGGCCCACCCCGCCAGCCTGCGCCCGCCTGCGCTCGCCGCGCCCGCCCTGCCGCGGCCTCAGACACGAGCCAGGCACGGCCCAAGCTCTACCCCTGTGGATGCTACGACAATGGAACACCCTAACAGTCCTATCATTGAATTCAGAATGTGCTGAAGATGTCGGAAACATGTTCGAAACATGTTTTAGACATGCACCCTGCATGCTTAAAACATGATTAACTCAAGTTTCAGACATCTGGAAATCATTTGGCAACATGCTTCCTCTCAAATGGTCGCCCTCCACAACTCTACCCATGCTTGCGACTCCCCGATAAAACAGGGCTAAGATCGGGATAAATCGCTCCAGAGCGTTCCGGAGCGCTCTCAGAGCGTTCCGGAACGCTCTGGAGCGGCCGCGGCGCCCAATACATCCTCCAAACCCGCCGATTCTCAGAGATTTCGAGTTATCCCGATCCGATTTTGTCCCGATCTTCGCGTCGTTTGACCCGGACCTCTCCCACGATGCGTTCTGACCAGAATTGCGGGGCGAATCCCGTCGTGGCGACGAGGGCCTCCCAGGATACCCAGCGAAGGGGAAACGAAGCGCCGGGCAGCGCCGATGTGCACACCAGGGAACACGGAGGGACCGGCCCCAGACTTAAGTCAGGCGTGTCCCACTACAGGGGGGTTGTCGACGAAAAATAACAAATACTCCAGAAATACTCCAAAATGCTCAGAAAATGCCCCCAAAAAATGTCCCCTGAATATTTTTTGACTATTTTTGCATATATCCCCCCTGTAAGAGGGACGGGCCCGACTGCTCCGCGGTCCGCGGAAAGCTTCGGACGGCGCCCCTGGCGCAGAGCGCGAGGGTCTCGCGGGTGCGAAGGCCCCGCCAGGAACACCCTGTTTGCACGCCCGAAGTGGGTGCGGACAAGAATGGGCACAGTGCCCAACAACAGATGTTGCCCCAAACCGACAGCGGCCGCTGTTGAGCAGGCGGCCTTCTGTCTCAGATGTACACAGGCCGCGGCGACACAGACAGCGAGTCCTGTTCAAAATGAACAGGCACCGATGCTGGGCATTGTACCCTTTCTTTCCGTACCCATTTCGTTTGTGCCGACCCTGGGCGCCTGTTATTCGAAGCCAGGACGAGGATCAAATCAGGCAAGGATAAGTCGAGAACCTCTGAGAGCCTGCGGCTCTTCTGCGCCGTGGCCTTCTCAGAGCGTTCCAGCACGCTCTGAAGCCGACTTGCCCTCTTCCTAGCTCGGGGGCGTCCAAGCGGGGGGGCGCGCGAATCATGGCCGGCGGCACGTGCGCGGCCCAGGGGAGGGGCAGGGGCGCATTGGAATGAGAATAGGCGCCAAGAGATATCTGTGGAGATATCATGGCCACCTGCCATGATATCCACCCCTCCACAGTCATCACCCCCCTCTTTGCCGCCCCCGACTGGCCCCGTCCGATGTGAACCCTGAGAGCTTCACTCCAAGACCCCATGCGGGACGCGCTGCCACGCGCGGCGCGTCGGCGAATCTGCGCGGCGCTATCTTGGCCCTGACGCCATCGGTGCCCTCCGCGAGTCGCAAAGGGCAGTGATGGTGTCAGGGTGCGGTAAGTTCGTGTCGTGTCGCCGCGGGGATCGTTCAATCTGACGCCATCGGCGAATCTGCGCGGCGCCATTGTCCCCAATCCTGGAGAGTACCTGCGGTTTGCCGTCGCTCGGACGTCCATTTCCTGTGCATGTTTCGGTTTCGTGTGTGGTGTTTCTGCTCGATGGTCCAGGATGGTCCTCGATGCTTCTCGCAGAGAAAAAATGCACACGTCCGAGCGATACCAAGGCGGGGCCCGGGCCCCCAGCTCTCAAATCTCACCCGGGCTTCCCGCGTGCCTGCTAGGCTTACCCGCGTCGTCCCGCGTATTTTTTTATTTGTTGTTGTTCCGAGCCGAGAGGACCACGAGGGCCCCACGAGGCCCCCAAGACGGTCCTACAGTCGGACTTCATTGGCGAGGACACGCGAGAGGACACAAGACCCTTCCGAGGGCCACACTGCCGTAGGAGTGTAAGACGGCACGTGTCGCGAGGCACAGGACACAAGGGTACCCGTGATTTGGCAGGGTCGACCTACTAACCTGGGCCGACTGTAGCCCCTACGAGTCCCCAAAGATCAATGCAAGCCGCTCCAGATGGCCTCCACATGGCCCAAGACGCGTCCAAGGCGGCCGAGGCCTCCAAGCGGCTTCACCAGAAGGCCCCAAAATGCAAACAATAAAATGCCCTCCGGCTTTCGAATGATTTTGGCCTTGTCACCGTTTCGGCTTCCCGACGCTCCCCAAGATCGGTCCAAGAACGCCCGAGAAACCGCCAAGATGGCCCCAGGACGGCCCAGGAGGGTGCCTGGACGGCCCACGAGGCTCCCAGGACGGCCCAAGGGGGGCCTCCAGGCCCCAAAAGGGAACCCAGAGGGGAGACGCCAACGGAAATGTCGGGCCTTCGGCCCCAGGATGGCCCCCAGGGGCCTCCCTGTGAGGCCCACGGGGCGCCCAACAGGAGGCGCCAAAAGGCGCCCGAGGGGCTCCCAAGAGGCCCCCAACAGGAGGCGCCAAGAGGCCCCAAGGGGCCCCCAGGAGGCTCCCGAGAGGCACCCCAACGTAGCCTGGGATCCATCCAATTTGCCCCAGTCACAGAAGCCAGCCACGGTGGCGGCACGGGACGCAGGAAATGCAGTACTGACACTGTACGGCGGAACGAGGCCCCTTTTTGGGCCCTGAGAGCGCCTCCGTGCCCGAGGAGTGCACGAGGAACAGCAAAGGAGGAACCTAAGGAGCATCAAGCCCCTTCAGAATCCAAATTGTTACTTATTTCAGCGCCTTGGCTGTACCCACGTCTCCCGTCTACACGCTGTTTGTTCCACAGATGTCCAAGCTCGGAGGGGGAACGAGGGGGGGAGAAGTGGGAGGGGCGGGGGCGAGATACTTACGGGGAGATCTCTGGAGGTCCCCGAGACTTCCTGTGGATGTCCCCAGACACTTGTGGAAATCCTCCAGACGCATGCAGAGGCCGAAGCAGTATCTATATATATATATATATATATATATATATATGCTCGCCCCCCCCCTGGTATCATACCATTTGCCTTGTCTTCGACACTTCCCACTTCTGTCTTTGTCAACCCCCCCCTCGTATGTTGCCCACTCTCCGTCCGCATCGGTGTCGTTCCTTCCCGCTGCATTTCTTTCTATGATTCGTTCCTTCTCCTTTTGATTATGTCCGTTATCCTCCCGATCCTCCCTCTTCCCTCACCCCTCGCGTCCCTCCTCCTTCCTCCCTCCCTTCTCCGTTGCAGGGCCTCGTCATCTTCTTCCCCCTCGCAAGCTTCCTTACAGCCCTCGTTCCTTCTACTCTTTATTGTCCCTCCCACTCTTCATTATCATTGTCGTTCCTTCTACTCGTTTATCGCTGATCCGACTTCTCTGCATATGTTCGTCGTTCCAAGGGCCTTCAAACATCGATTCCTTATGTGTAGGGGCCTCCACATATTGTCCATTTGTGGAGGAACCTCCACATAATGATTCCATATGTGCAAGGGGCCTCCACAATGATATCTTGTGTGGAGGGGCCTCCCACTCGTTGAATCCTTATGTGGAAAGAAACTGATTCATCCTGTGGGGGATCCTCCACATATTGTTTCCTTATGTGGAAGGGATCTCCACATGTTGATTCCGTCTGTGGAGGGACCTCCACATGTTGATTCCTTATGAGCAAGAATCTCCATATTGATTTCTTATGTGGAGGGGCCTCCAACTTGTTCATTCCTTCTGTGGAAGGGGCCTTCACATGATGATTCCGTACATAACAGGGCCTGCACATATGGATTCCTTATGTGGATGGGCCTTTTCATATCGATTCCTTATGTGGAGGGGCCTCCACATATTGATTCCGTCTGTGGAGGGACCTCCACATGTTGATTCGTTCTGTGGCGGGCAATCTCCTTTTCCTCCTCCTCCTTCTGCTCCTCCTCCCTCTCCTTCTCTCACTCCGGCGCAAGGGTTGAGGAGAAGAAGGATCAGAAGGAGTAGGAGGAGAAAGATGAGGAGAAAGATGATATTGGTTCCTGTTGTGGGGGATCCTCCACATATTGATTCCTTATGTGGAAGGGACCTCCACATGTTGACTCCGTCTGTGGAGGGACCTCCACACATTAATTCCCTATGTGCAAGGGGTCTCCAGATTGATTTCTTTTGTGGAGGGTCCTCCCACTTGTTGATTCCTTATGTTGGAAGGGGTCTGCACATATTGATTCCTTATGTGGATGGGCCTTCAAATTATCGATTCCTTAAATTGAGGGGCCTCCACATGATAATTCCGTCTGTGGAGGGACCTCTACCAATTGAGTTCTTTTGCGGCGGGCGATTTCCTGTTCCTCCTCCTCCTCCTGCTCCTCCCCCTCCTCCTCCGCTCTGGCGCAGGGGTTGAGGATAAGAAGGAGCAGAAGGAGTAGGAGGAGAAAGATGAGAAGGAGACAGATGATATTGTTTCCTTTTGTGGAGGGGCCTCCCCCATATTTTTTCCTTATGTGCAAGGGGCCTCGCGCATATTGATTCCTCTTGTGGAAGGGACCTTCACATGTTGATTTCGCCTGTGGAAGGACTTCCACATATTCATTTCTTAGGTCAAAGGGGTCTCCACATGGATTTCTTATGTGGATGGGCCTTTGAATATAGACTCGTTATGTGGAGGGGCCTCCACATATTGAGTTTGTCTGTGGAGGGACCGCCGCATCTTGATTCCTTATGTGCAAGGGGTCTCCATATTGATATCTTGTGTGGAGGAGCCTCCAACATGTTGAATCCTTATGTGGGAGGGGCCTTCATAGATGAAATCCTTGAAGGAGCCTGTACACATTGATTCCTTCTGTGGGGGGCCCTTCACATATCGATCCCTTATGTGGAGGGGCCTCCACATGGATTCCTTGTGTGGAGTAGGAGGAGAAAGATGATGAGGAGGAGGAAAAATAGGAGGCGGAGGTGGACACGGGGGAAGCGGATTTACATATCGATTCCTTTTGTGGCGGGGCGGAGTACATAGAATGGGAGGAGAGGAGAGGAGGAGAGAGAGAGGGAGAGTGTCAAGAGAGGGAGGAGAGAGACAGAGGGAGGAGGTGAGGGAGGAGGAGAGAGAGAGAGGAAGGGAGAGGAGAGGAGGAGAGAGAGAGAGAGAGAGAGAGAGAGAGAGTCAAGAGAGGGAGGAGGATAGAGAGAGAGAGAGAGTCAAGAGAGAGAGAGAGGAGAAGAGAGGGAGATAACGAGAGAAAGAGGAACGGAATTCGGCAGAAAACGGGTGGGAACGTTGAGTCAAGGAGTCGGCTAGGCGGAGGAGACGGAGGAGGGTGTTTTTTTTCCTTTTTGTTCCTCCTCCCCGCCCTCGGAGGCGGAGTTTTTTTCCATTTTCCATGTTTTTCGCTCTCCCGTTCGGCCCCTCGAGGTTTCCCCGCCGCCCCAGGGGGGGCCCGAAAAAGAGGAAACAAAAAAAAAATGACAAAAACCTGTGTTTTCACTCTCCCCCCGTTCGCATTCGCCGTTCGCAGAACGGCGAATGGTATGATACCAGGGGGGGGGCGACCATATATATATATATATATATATATATCTATGTGATACCGGAGCAAAAACCCAATCAGGGCTATAGGGCTAGGGGGCTATGGGGCTATTGAGCTATAGGGGGCTGTAGAGCTATAGGGCTATAGAGATGTAGAGCTATAGGGCCATTGAGCTATAGGGCACGCCCGGGCACCCGGGCACCCCCGGGCACCCCCGGGCACCCCACGGGCACCCGGGCGTGCAGCGAAAATCGGCAGCCAACCTCACCCCCGGGCACCCCCGGGCACCCGGGCGTGCAGCGAAAATCGGCGGCAAACCTAACCTAACCATATGAATCCGCCAGGCCCCTCCAGAGGCAAGCTCTGGTTGGGGAATAACAAAAACCGCTTGAAGGACTCAGTCCTGAGGGAGCGCGATCAACCGTCGCCAACATGATGCAACAAAATGCCATCAGCGGGATCAAAAGACAGGGGGCCCCGTGCCCCTCCTCCCTGAACCCCCTCAGCCTCAGCACGCACGTAGAACCGGGAGGCCCGGGCCCCCCCCCACCCGGAACACGTGTCTGGAGGTATCCAGAGCCCCCCCCCCGAAAATGACTCGCCCGCCCGAACAATTACTCGAAGGGTCAAGCAACCCCCCTAGCAACGACGCGAACGACGACGCCGCCGCTGGCCAAATACGTGGACGACGACGACGACGACGGAGACGACGGAAGACAATGACGGCTACGACGACACGGACGACGGCGACAATGTCGGCGGCTGGGGCGGCGGCGCACACGTCGCCGGTGCCCGCGCCAGGCGTCCGTTCTGTGAGAGTGCTACTGGAGATCGATCCAACTCTATTTCTAATCCTGATCAGAGTTCGCCCCACCTGCAATAAATTCCGATTGGAAGTGTATCTAGCGCTAGTCTGATTTCGATAGGGATGGATCCAGCTCTGACAGAACCCCGGCCACTAGCGCTCGATCCAGCTCGGAAAAAGTATTATCAAAGTTCGATCCAGCTCAAATGGAAGCATGCTACTGAAATTCTGCTACTTGGGTTGCGTCCAACTCAAATAGAACGGGTTCGACCAACCTCCGAGCTCAAACATAATTGCACAAAAGGCTCAGTGTCTACCGGGGTCATACTAAAGCTCAATCCAGCTTCAACGCAATCAAATCAGGGTTGACTCCAGACCGAATAGAATCCTACTAGGGCTCGACCCAGCCTGAATGGAATCCTACTACGTTCAAGAAATCGAACCAGGGGTCGATCCAGCCCTTTCTCGATCCTACTGATGCTGACCTGGGCAAGAAAAGAATTCCTGTAAAGCTGACGGCTACGAGGAATCGGTCCAACTCTGACAAAATCCTGCTGGGGTTCCTCCTACGCGTCGACCTAGCGCTCTCAGAGTCCTACTCGCGCTCAACCCAACTCTGATGGAATCCAACTCGGCTTCGATCCAGGTGTAACAGAATCCTGCGAAGGCTCTGTCCAGCCCTGATGCAATCAGATTAAGGCCAAATCCAGCCATAAGGATATCCTACTACGGCTGGGTCTAGCTCTAGTAGAATCATATCAAGGCTGGCTCCAGGTCTGATGAAACTCTTACAACAACTTGACCCTGCAATACAGCAAAATCCGTTCAAAGTTAGATCCGACTCTCATGGAATCCTACTGGGGCATGGTCAATCTTTACTGGGACCCTACCAGGGCTGGGTGCGGCTCTAGAGAAATTCTACTCGGGCTTGATCCCGACTGTAGAGAGTCCTACTTCAGCTCGGTCCACCTCTAATCGCATCTCACTCGGGCTCGATCGTCGTCGTCGTCGGCGTCGTCGTCGTTGGCGTCCTGGTACTCGCCGTCGTCGTCGTGGTCATCGTCATCGTCATCGACATCGGCGTCGACATCGACATCGGCGTCGTCGTCGCCAGGCTCGGCCTCGTCGGTCGTCGGTCACCGGTCGAGGGTCGTCGGACGTCGGGCGTGGGTCGGTCGGTCGGTCGGTCTGTCCGTAGTCGTCGTCGTCGAGGTCGTCGTCGTCGTCGTCGTCGTCGTCGTCGTCGGCGTGGGCGTGGGCGTTGGCGTGGGCGTGGGCGTGGGCGTCGATCGTCGTCGTCGTCGGCGTCGTCGGCGTCGTCCGCGTCGTCGTCGAAACTGAAAGGGGAAGGAACTGTCAGGATCAATCGGGCAATTTTCCGGGGGGAGGGAGGGCTCTGGACCCATCCGAATAAATTTCCTAGGGGTGGGGGGTGGCTCCTGGACCGCTCCGAATAATTTCCCTGAGGAGGGTCCCAGAACTCCACCTCCCCCTCTGCCCCCTCCCCCACTGGTTATGTGGGGTGGGGGTTGAGACCCCCCCCCCCGCCAGGAGCAGCCGAAAGCGCTGTTTCGCAGTTTTCGATCCTCGAACCTGCACCTCCTCCCCATCCTCCTCCATCAATCCTATCAACATCGCGCTGCCACGGAGGAACGACTTCAGGGCTGTCTCTATAGTCTCTTCCCACGTGGGATAACGATACTGGCTCCCCGTCTTTGAATCCACCCTCTCGGCCCAACATTTGTCCAGGATGTCTTCGCACCTCATCCACTCACCCAGACCGTCTTGCAATGCGGATGTGTTTTTTGGGAGGGCAGTGAATAAAAAATAGCAGCGCAGCTCAGTGAGGACATCAATGCCCAGCAAACTGCGTAACGCACATGAAGGCGGGCGGGGGCATCGGAGTCATGCAAACAGTCGGGGGCATCCAGCAACGAAAACTGTCAGGATGACAACTGATCATCAAATCTCACAGTACCCCAGGAACCAGAGCATACGAATACCATTGGACACTTATAAGAGGCCCGAAAATGTCATCAGATCAACTGCATACCGAGACCCTGGGAGACCGGTTCTCAAAATGACGGAATTCGGCAAATACCAGCCTGGGAGAAATCGCCCTCGCGAGGTCCACATCGGGGGAAACCTCGGACAGAACACCGTCCCCATGGCGGCCCATGGCGCTCCTTCGAGCAATCACCCGCACGTGGCGTCTTGCACCACACACACACACACAAACACACACACACACACACGCATGCACGCACACACACACACAAATTTCCAGGACCGACAACATCAAATCCTGCACCTCCGCACCGCTACTCGCGCCAGTCTCTCCCTCCCTGACCACAAGTAAGACAGGGGCACCTGTAAAACTGCGCGCTCCATCGGCGGCGCGTTCACGTACACCTCTGTCGAAAGAGGATAGCCGGCAAGGGTGATACTGCACAGCATGGACAACATGTGGCCAATCAGTGGAGGATGACAGAACACAAGCGGCATCACCCTGAACAGCTGTGGAAGAAGATTGGGAAGACGTGCTAGGACCGTCTTCTCTTACGTGGCTGGATCATTGCACCCGGCGTTCGACTCTGATCCTGACTGTATCCTTATGACGCATGTTTCAAGGCGCAAGCGTTGCGTTGTCAGAGCCACGGGCGGATAGCAATGATGAGTGTGAGCCGGCGTCGCTCACAAGACAGATGCGAGGAGCAGGCGGATGGTGAGGCGATCGATCGAAAGGTGTTACAGCACTTGTAGAAATTGGTTGCTGCATCCTGAAGTGGCGTTTGGTGAGTGATGGCTTCATGGGAATGACCCGCGACCTTGTCAGATCGTTCGGGCCAACTATGATTAACGAACTAATCGAAATTCGGACGCACCCACGTATCACGACAACCATGGAAAAAAGACAAGTACCGAACCCTCGTCAATAATCCCAGGGAGACGTAGCAATCTGATATCTGTACATATAGAGAAAGAGAGAGAGGAAGAGAGAGGAAGAGAGAGAGCTGGGCGGTGAGATGGGAAACTAGAGAAGAGAGAAGACGAAGCGTGAATTTTGAGCTCAGATGCGTAAACTAATACCGCTTTACCGAACCTATAATCATTGGGCGCCCGAGTTATCCGGGGTAACTCGGGTCCGGGGTAACTCGGGTTTGGATTCCCGAAAAAGGAACCCGAGTTAGCCCTGACCCGAGTTACCCCTGATGATTCGGGGCTCTGGACGCCCGAACTATCCGGGGTAAGTCGGGTCCGGGGCAAGTCGGGTTCGGACTCCCGAAAAAGGAACCCGAGTTATCCCTGACCCGAGTTACCCCTGACGATTCGGGGCTCTGAAATCATGAACCGAGAAAAAGTCCGCCGACCCTGTCGGCGTGTGGAAGACGCTGTGCTGTCTGACTCGACGTCGTCGGTGTCGTCACGCTTGCCGGCGTTTTTGCCCCCCCTCTCCCTGGGCCCGTGGCCGCTCCCATATTCCTTTCACGGGGCCCTCCTCGTCGCCGCTCCCCGCCGCTTTCACCTGGCAGTCCTCCACGAGCGAGCCAGCCAACGCGAAACCAAACTGAAAGCAAGGAATGTCGGAGTTGAGTCGAGAGCATGCCCCTTCCCTTTGATCCCTTCCCTCGCCAGTGGGGGGGTCCTGGAGGGGGGTCCCAGAAGCGGTCCTGGGGGGGGGGGCCCGGGTCAGAATACCATGCCCCCCTCGGGCGGCCCCGAATCGCCGAACAAATTGGTCCCAGACGCCAAAGATGGCCTCCGGCTTTCAAGACGCTCGAAGGGGCCTCCAAGAGTACGCCAAGAGGGTCCTAACAGGCAAAATTAAATAACTTTCTTTGGGGTTTGAAGGCTCTGGCGTTCTTGCCTTTTCGGCTTCCGGACGCTCTAAGACGGCCCAAGATGCCACCATGACTGGCACAAGAGGCCCCCATGAGGTCTCCAAGACGACCCCAAAGCGACCCAAGAGGACCCCAGACGGCCCTGGAGGCCTCCCAGACGGCCCAAAAGGCCACCAAAACGGCTCCAAGATGGTGCCTACACGGGAGCCCGAACAAACATTTCGAGCCCTCGGCCCCGAGAAGCTCCCAGGAGGCCCAAAGAGGCCACAAGACGCCCCAACGAGGCCCCAAGAGGCCCCAACGAAGCCTCAGAAAGCCCAGAGGGACCCCCAAGAGGCTCCAAGGCTCCCAAGATGCTCCCAAGAGGCCCCCAAACTGTCCCCCATAGGCCGACAAGCGCACTCCGAAGAGGCCCCACGAAGCTCGCTGAGGACTCTGCCCCACGTCAGTGTCGTCGTCGCCGCCGACGCCGCCGTCGTGTTCGTCGTCCCAATAAGAGCATTTCCACAAAAAGCCTGATCGGGGAACAGCGGGCATCAGTACGCGCACGGATGAGCAACTCGCCAGAGCGGGGTGGACCCAATCACCCAGTCGAACCTTTGATGAGGATTGGGGCACGCGCTTGGATGATGCTTAAAACGCCAATGTTCCCCTCCCCCCCCGCTGTCAAGATCTTCGTTTCCCCCCGGTTGGGGGTCAAACTTGTTCTCCGCTTGAAAATTGTCGCTCACACCATTTTCAATTCGCATTCTTCTGTACTTCCGATTTTGCTGTTGTGTTGGGCTGCCGTTGCTCCGTTTCGGTGAGCCGGAAACTGAATAAGTCAGAACCCAAAACGCACCAAAAACGAACCAAACACGTCAAAACCAAGAACCAAGAAGTCGGAACCACAGAACGCAAAACGACTGAGTAAGTCAACGTGCCTGACAACAGCCAGAGGCACGCGTGAATTCCAGCTCCCCGTAGTGGCTGCCCACCTCCGCGCCGCGCGCCGCGACCCGGAGAGACGGACGGCCGCGCGGTCCAGACCGCGCGGCGCGCAGCCCGGGCTGCGCCACGCGCCCCCGCGGGCCACCCGGGCAGCGGCCGCTTCTTCTAAAGGGGCCTCGCGGACACACAGATAAGCGGGCACAAATAACAGGATCCCCCAGATTTGACCCACGTTTTCTGGGTGTTCGTCTTCCCCCCCCCCATATTTTCCTATACTCTCCCACAGGATTCCCCATATCTTCCCACCTTTCCTGGGTTTTCCTCCCCCCCAATATTTTCAAATCTTTTCCCATACTTCCTTAAGGTGTCGACGCTGGATTGTCTGTGTGGTTTCTGCCCCTCCTGCTCGCCGAGCGGCGCGCTGAGCGGCGTGGCGCGCCGCAGGGCAGGGCGGCCGGGCGGCCCTCGAGGACAGCAGGGGGGCGGGGCGGGCGGGGTCTCCGAGGGGGGGCAGGCCGCTCGGAGGCCCCTCCCCGTGGAAGCCTCCGGGGGTGCGCCCAAGGGGCGCACAGAGACATACGAATACTCTACAGTCGGGGCGTTGACCTAAGGAACGATAACTCAGGAACGAGGCCCCTTTTTCCTATAAATTAAACTCCGATGTTCCATGGAAAACCTCAGGAAAACCCGAGGAGCACTGTAAAGCAACTAAGGAACACGGAACCCCTCCCCAACAAAAAGGGCTCCTTCTTCAGGGCCCCGACTGTGTATGTCCTGCTTGGAGGCGCGCGACCGACCCGAACACATATGTAGCATACCCGTCTCGTAGCAGATTGTTTCCTGAGCGGCGTGGCCAGAAGGCGCCCGCCACGACGCACATACTGTAAGATTTCTCGGTGCGCGCGTCGCCCCTGATGGGGGCGACGCACATACAGAATGAGTATGTTGGGGGGACGCCGATAGGAGGCACCTACTGGGAAGTTTTCGTCGGAAATATTGAAGAGAAATATAAGCTCCATTGGGGGGCTGTTGCATAGGAGTGGGCCTCGGATGAAGCCGGATTAGGCGGGATTCAGCCGGACTCAGCGGGATTTAGCTGGATTTCGGAACAGGGCAAAATCAGAATTTGACCTCCCAGGACTTGCAATCGAAGCATTCCAAGAGGCCTTCCCGCCTTCTTGGAACGCCGATCCCCCCTCTCTGGGGGGTGGAGGGGCAAAAACGCTAGCAGTGAACCCGCCGTGGGGAACCCACCAGCGTGTTACTGCTGAGGAAGCACCCCGCCTTCGGACAATACAAAGGAGTCACACGCGCTGAAGGGCTCCCTGCCATTGATTCTCGATTTTCCCCTCGGCTTCTGTGACAACTCCTGGGAGCCTCCCATACCCTATTGTTGGCTCTTGCGAATCGACGCGGATCGAGGCTCATCGACACTAAATGTACGCACGTCGACGCTGATCGACGCAAATCGACGCTAAATCGGCGCTATCTCACCGATCACCAGATGCTAATCGTCGCTACTGCGAACGGCGACCTGCTTGGAACGCCGCGAAGGCGCTGCATGTTGGTGCCGAAACATCCAGAAAGCAACTATACAGCATTTCCAGGAAGGGCCCGGCTAATCGTGACATGTGCGAACCCATCCTCTAGCTCGACGCCAGTGCACTCTAAAGACGGAAGTACGGAGGTACGCAAGGCCCCCCAGTGGTTTGCTACCGAGGCCGACGCTCAGACACCATGCAGCGCGCGCGTTTCACCCTGGCTGCCTGCAGCGAACGCACCATGCGCCCCGAGAGGGGCAGCACGGCGCACCGTGTCGCCCCGCTCCTGGCGGTGGCAGCAGCAGCAGGGGAGGGGGGGGAGGGCAGAGGAGAGCAGTGCGGCCTTCGCCGTGCCGAAGACGACTCGGCGGCGAGCATGCGGGGGGGGGGGAGGGGGAAAGCGAGAAAGGGCGGGCCTTCTCCGAAGGCTCGCATCGCTTCGGGCTTTCTGAGCGGTCTCCTGAGCCGTCCCCGAAGGCCCAGGGAGACCTCGCCAGAGGCCCGATGGGGGGCCTTATGAGAGGCCCCGCCGCCTTCTGAGAGGGACTGCCCCTCCCCGCTTCCTCCCCTTGGGCGCGCCGCCCGCTGACGGGTGGCACGCAACGTGTGCATGCGTGTGGAGAGGCCTCACTTGGACACGCCCCTCGCACACGTCGTGCTCCCTGGACCTCCAGGGCCTTCCCCTGGATCTCCCCACGGATGACGGATGCCTCCATTCGGCACACCCCCCTTCGCGCACTTCGTGGCCCACGGACCCCCACGGGCTCCAGCAGGACCCTCAAGGCGGCTCGAAAGAGCCCGATATGGACGCATCCCTCACGCACGTCGTCCTCCATGGATCGCCAGTAGCAGACATTTTCCCGGGAGCTTGATTCTGGCACGCTCCTCACGCATTTCGTGCCTCATGAACTACCAGAGGCGTCCAGCGGCCCGGCAAGACGGTTCAATGGAGCATCTTTTCGGCGCACCGCTCACGCATCTCGCGCCGCCTGTACACCCAGAGTCGCCCTGGCTCCTCAAGGCTGCTCAGGGAACTTCAATTCCCCCCCCCGGATGTCGTGGCCCATGGTCCTCGAGAGGCGGTCAGCTGGTTCTCAAAACGGCTGAAGGGAGCCTCAATTCAGCACGTACGCGCACAAGCACGCACAAGCACGCACAAGCACGCACGCACGCACGCACGCACACACACACACTCTCACTCACTCACTCACTCACTCACTCACTCACTCACTCACTCACTCACTCACTCACTCACTCACTCACACACTCACACACACACACACACCACACACACCACACACACACTTTTTGCGTCGGCGGCTCGGCAGAGTGACTGCGCTGGCGCAACGACACACACACACACACATATCACGCACGTCGTGCCTTAAGGGCCCCAACAAGCCCACATGGGATTTCCAACAACACCTGATTCCACAAAAACGCAAAATGTTCAACCACTGGTGCGGACGAATTGGTCGAAGCCATGCCAACGACCACCAAGTGATTGCGGGATCTGCGTGCTGGCCTCCCTACGAGGAAGAAAATCCATCCCCGTGGCTCTGGGCTTGGAGGGGGCACTCCCGGGGCTTCCCGCGTGCCCCGTGGGCCATTGGAAGCGGTGGTTTTTGAATTGCTCGGGCCCACGAGGGCCCCAAGACGGGCCAAGATGCCCCCAAGCGGCCTGCAAGACGGCCCAAGACCAAAGAACGGCCCAGGACGCTCAAGATGGCCTCAAGACGGCTCAAGAGGCCTCCAAGAGGCCCCAACAGGCCTCCAAGAGGCCTCCCAAGAGGGCATCTCGCCTTTTCGGCTGTCCGACGCTCCAAGACGGCCCAAGAGGCCCCCAAGACCACTCTAAAACGGCCCAAGAGGCCTCCAAGAGAGCCCGAAGAGGGCCTTAGAGCGCCCCACGACGGCCCAAGAGGCGCCCAAGATGGCCCATGAGGGCCCCCAGACGGCCCCAAAAGGGGCCAAAGAGAGCGAACACGAACCAAAAATCCTAGCCTTCCGCCCCAAGAGGCCCCCAGGAGGCCCCAGGAGGCCCCAAGAGGTCCCCAAGAGGCCCCAAGAGGTCCCAAAGAGGTTCCCTAAGAGGCCGAAAAGATATTCTAAGAGGCCCCATGGCGCCCCCCAAGAAGCGTCCAAACTGCCTCCAAGAGGCCCCGACAGGCCTCCCACGAGATCCCAATGAACATCTACTATTCCTTCATACCCACCCACGACCCAGGCATTTTGGCGGGATAAGCCGAAGGCCATTCGATACGCCATAAGCACAAAAACGTTTAGAGCTCCGCGCTGATTTCTTGGATCGGCGCTGGACCCCCCTCCCTGTCGCGGCGCCAAAAATTTTTAATTGTTCGATTTCCCCGCTCGCCATCGCTCGGACGTCCATTCCTCGTGCATTTCCCGATCTCGTGCGTGTTTTTTCGCCAAATGATCAAGGATGGTCCTTGATGGCCGTCGCCGAGAAAAAATGCACACGTCCGAGCGATGCCAAGTGGATCGGCGCTGGACCCCCCTCCCCGTCGCGGCGCCCGAGGTTTTTCATTCTTCGACTTCCCCCGTGGGCCGGCAGCGACCCCCGCCCCGCAGGCTCAGCACACGTGGGCGTTGGACCAGGAACGGACGGGGCTCCTCCGGCGACGGCGAGCCTCGGCCCCGAAGAGGCACCCCGGCTGAGCCCCTCTGGAGCCCACACCGCACCGTACCTCGGCGTCTGGACTGTACAGGGCAGTGTTTAATACATAGTGTTCTTTATATGTTTAAGGATTTGTATTACGTGATTCATGTATGAATACATGTAGGCATGAACTCATCGTTGTTTTTAAAGCTGAATCCCTGCATGTTTCATACATGATCCGCACGCGGGGCATGTATTAAAAAAACGGCACTGTAATTTGGACGCCCGAGATGGGTACGGAAAAAAATGGGTACAATGCCCAACAACAGATGCTGTCCCAAACCAGAAGCGGCCGCTGTTGGGCGGGCGGCCTTCTGTCTCGAATGGACACGGGCCGCGGCCGCGTGGACAGCGAGTCCTGCTCAAAATGAGCGAGAACTGCTGCTAGGCATTGTGCCCATTCCTTCCGTGCCCATCTCGGGCGTCCAGACGTAAGAGCGCCCGCATGAGCTGGCCCTGGCCTGCGCTGCTCGGGCGCGGCTGCAGGACCTACCACGGCACCCCCGCGCCGGCTTCCGCAGCCCGAGCGGGCTCCTCCCTCTTGCCCTCTCGCGCTCTGCTCTCTGTCGCCCGCGCGCCTCCGTTTGCTCCTGGCGCACCCCACCGCTTGCTTGACCGCCGCCCGACTGTCGTTGGACCCCCTGGCGCCAGCGGACTGACACTTGCCGTCGCGCGGGCGTCCATTTCCCGTGCATGTTTCGGTTTCGTGTGTGTTTTTTGCTCGATGATCCAGGATGTCGGAGATCTTCTGACCCGGGTCAATCCAGACCCGGGTCAGCAAGAAACCAAAAACTGCAATGCGGGAACAAAAAACTGCAACGCAAATCTTCGCAAACCCGGGTCAGCCAATACGCGCGGCCGCCTCGCGGCCACGAGCGGCTCGCTAACCCGGGTCAGCCAGAGGGGGTCTTCGCAGGATCCTGCAGGATCTGGCGCCCTGGCTGACCCCCGTTTGCATTGACCCCCGTCTCTTGAGCCCCGAGGATGCTCCTCAGGGTCCTCGCCGCGAAAAAAATGTACACGTCCGAGCGATGCCAGGGACAGGCATGAAGGCCGCCCGCTCCCCCCCCTTACCAGCCTGGAACAGATCCCTATCCCTATGCTGGGCACCTCCTCATCACGATGCCAAGCTTAAGCATTCCCTTATCTTTTGAGGGCGAATCCCTAAGATTCTCATTGCCTTTTGGCGTGTCAATCTGAGGGATAGGGATAGAGGATACGTTTCGATTTCGTGCGTGTTTTTGTTTCGCGAAATGATCAAGGATGGTCCTCGCCGAGAAAAAACATGCACACGCCCGAGCGATGCCAGGAACAGGCATGAAAGCCGCCCGCCCCCCCCTTACCAGCCTGGAACATATCCCAATCCCTATGCTGGGCACCTCCTCATCACGATGCCAATCTGAAGCATTCCCTTATCTCTTGAGGGCGAATCCCTAAGATTATTGTCACCGCCTTTTGGCGTGTCAACCTTCGGGATAGGGATACGTTCGAGGCTGATAAGATACCAGGGACAGGCATGACAGCCCGCCCGCCCGCCCCCCCCCCCGACGGAGCTCGACCTCGCCTCGTCGGCGCGGCGCGCCGTGCGCCCGCAGCGCCGCCGACGCTCGGAGGCCCTCCGCGCGACGGGCGGGGCGACCTGGGGCTCCAGCGTTGCGGATGCCACGACAAGGGACACCCTAACTGACTGCCTGCCAGACCACCCCAACCCAACCCGAAGACCCGAATTTCGGGTTTGGGGGGGGGGACGGGTTCCACGCGTGTTTTCTCAATGTTCCCCGACCCCCCCCCCACTGGAAATGGAGGGCAAATTGAGGCCTTCGGGTTGGGTTGGGGTGGCTTGGTGGGTGGTGAGCGTTGTGGATGCCACGACAATGGACACCCTAACAGTTCTATCATTGTATTTACAATGTGTTTAACAGATAAGACACATGTTCCAAACATGTTTAAAGCATGTTTTTTGGGCATGTGTAAGACATGTTCAACACATGTTTTAGACATCTGGAGATTATTTGGCAACACGCTTCCTCTCCATTGATCGTCCTCCACAACTGCAGCGGCGGGGGCGGCGCCGCCCCGCGCTCCTCGTGGAACTCGGGATGGAGTGCGCAGAGGAACGCAACAAACGGCACCATCGTGGAAAGGTTCGCAGCTCCGCGCGGACGTATCGGCCCTTGGCTCGGCGATGGGCCCCCCTGCTGGCACGCACCGCGCGCAAGGAGGGGGATGCCGCGCCGATGCACGAAATTCTCGTGGAGCTCCGGAAAATGCCGCTCTTGTCTTTCGAGTACAGTCCTGCTCCCGCTCGTCCTGATGAGCCATGGGCGGAGAACAATCTTCCTCTTTTGCCCTCGGCCACGTGCGTCCCCAGGCCCTGACCCGCTCATCCTGCTGGAGCCCCTGGAGGAGGAAGAGGAGGAGGAGGAGGAGGAGGAGGAGGAGGAGGAGGAGGAGGAGGAGTGGGGGCGACGCACACATCGGCCACTGTGCCGCTAGGCACCACGAGGCCCCGGAAAAGGAGAAGCCCCGTGGGCCCCCACGAGCCGCCTGAAACCCACCCACCCCACAGACAGCCCTGCACTTCCCAGATCTCAACCTGCCCTGGGCATGGCTCCTCCCCAGCAGGTCGTCCGCACACTGGCGTTAGGGAAGAAATCTCCCGTCAACAACAGCCAACTCCAAACGAGGAGGGCACGACGCGCCAAAAGCGTGTCGACAACTCGTCTGAAACAAAAATATCAGATCGAAGAATGCATGGGCGCAGCATGCCGAAAAATACGGGCTACGGAGGAGGAGGAGGAGGAGGAGGAGGAGGGAGCCTTGGCGCCTGTGGCGCGCCTCGGTCATAGCTCTTGGCCTCCCGGCGCAGCGCACGGCGGAGGGCACTGCGGGCGCTCGCGCCGCGACACGGGTGGTGGCTCCGGGGGGGCTGGCGTGCGAGGAGGGCACGCGGGGAGGCCCCGGGAAGTGCCCAGCGCCACCGCGCGCCGGAGGAACGCGGGCGAGCGCCTCGGGATCGGCACCGTGAGCGGTACGAGCCCAGGCCGCGCGGCGATGCCCCAGCCACTTGTCCGACTCGCCATCTCTCGGACGTCTATCCCCTGTGTTTTTGTTCGGTTTCGTGCGTGGTTTTGTCGCCAAATGATCCAGGATGCTCCTCGATGGTCCCCGCCGAAGAAAAAATGGACACGTCCGAGCGATGCCGAGACGAAGGCATGCCCCGGGGAGTGCCTAGCGCCAGCGCCTCGGGCTCGGCACCGTGAGCGGCACGACCCCAGGCCGCGCGGCGATGCCCCAGCCACTTGTCCCGCTCGCCATCGCTCGGACGTCCATTCCCTGTGTTTTTGTTTCGGCTTCGTGCGTGGTTTTGTCGCCAGATGATCCAGGATGCTCCTCGATGGTCCTCGCCGAAGGAAAAATGCACACGTCCGAGCGATGCCAAGCCCGGTCTCCCGCTGTCGTCGGGCTGGCCGCGCCCACGCTCCGATCCCCCGCCGCGGCCTCGAGGCCGCCCAAGGCCCGCGTCGGAGGCCCCCCGGCGTCTCCTGGGGGCCACGCTGCCGGGGGCACGAGCCTCGAACGTATCCCTATCCCTAAGTGCCATCGTCTGTTCCCATCGTCTGTTCCCATGCCATCGTCATGCCATCGTCTGTTCCCCGAGTGCGGCGTTCTCTGTGTTTTGCGCAGTCCGGCAGGTGCGCGCCGGGCCAGCGTGGCCGCGACCCCAGCGCGGGCGTTCCAGGTTGAACGCCGCCAGTGGCCCAGAATCGGCCGATGTTAACCAGCCTCGAACGTATCCCTATCCCTAAGATGGGCGAGCAAAAAGGCAGGACAATCTTAGGGATAGGCCCTCAGAAACTGAGGGAATCCTTAAGATCGGCATCGAGGTGGGGTGATGTCAAACATGGGGATAGGGATATGTTTCAAACTGGTAAGCCAGGGGCACGACGAGAAGCAGCTGGCGCAACAGAAGACACGGAACCCGCACATCCGACGTCGTGCCTTCTTGGCCACACCGCCTCCCGAATGTCGGAGCCCTTTCTACGGAAGCAGGCCTCTCATCCGGAATCGTTTTCCGACCGTCCTGGGGCCCCACACTGGCCCTCGAATGCCAACAATAGCCGCAGACCATCCGTCGTGATCTGTGTCGCGACGCGAAGATGTCGGGGACCTTCGACCCCCTTCTTGAGCAGAGGCCGACCGTCCTGGCATGGCCAGGCACGACATGTTCAAACAAACCCCAAACATATCCAAAGCACAATAACAAAACACTTAGCACCGAAGCCCGATGTATGAAAACAAGACGGTCTCAGCTAGAACTGCTCTAAGAGCATGTCGCGCAAACCACGAAAGGGTTCTTATAACATTATTTGGTGGCCATGTGGGCAAGCCAGGACGCTTCGTCACTGTCTGGCCCTCCCCTTTGGTCCTGATGAGCCACGGGTGGAGGATCATCTCCTGCGCGCTCGGTCGCCTCGCGGGGTCCTGCTTGCGTGCAAATGAAAGGGGGGGCGGGGGGAAACAAGTGGACGCCCCTCCTCCTCCTTCTCCTGCGCATCGCCAGCCCCTCTCCAGCTCCTCGTCCTCATACAGCCATATTATCCCTCCGTCCTCTTCGTTCAGAATCGCGCATGCATGCCTTCTCCCGTCCCCCCCTCCGCCTCGCCTCATGCCGTCCCACCTCCACTACCCCCCAGTTCCCCGGGGAGGGGCGTAGTAGGTATACCAGCCACTGCTACCTTCTGCGTTAGTAGCGATAGTTTTGTGCAGGTGGTAGTAACAGCAACAGTTGTGACAGTAGTACTAGTAGTGGTGGTGCAAGCGGCGGTTGTAGTAGTGGTGCTAGTGGTCGCAGTCGCAGTAAAATCTAATAGCTTGTGGATCATAATCTTAATTGCGGTGGTCGTGCACACGGTGGTGGTCGGAAGGGGGGCGGTGGTGATGGTGGTCATAGCAGTAGCAGCGGTCGTGGTAATACCAAGATGAATGGCCGCTGTCGTGAAAATAATAGCAGCAGCTGGAACCGCGATTGCAGTAGTAGCCGCGGTAGTAGTAGTAGAAGTAATAGTAGCAGTTGCGGTAGTAAAAGTAGTAGTAGTAGTCGTAGTAGTAGTAGTAGTAGTAGTAGTAGTAGTAGTAGTAGTAGTAGTAGTAGTGGTAGTAGTAGTAGTAGTAGTAGTAGTAGTAGTAGTAGTGTGTAGTAGTAGTAGTAGTAGTAGTAGTAGTAGTAGTAGTAGTAGTAGTAGTAGTAGTAGTAGTAGTAGTAGTAGTAGTAGTAGTAGTAGTAGTAGTAGTAGTAGTAGTGTAGTAGTAGGTAGTAGTAGTAGTAGTAGTAGTAGTATAGTAGTAGAAGTAGTACCTAGTTAGTACTAGTAGTAGTAGTAGTAGTAGTAGTAGTAGTAGTAGTGTTAGTAATAGTAGTAGTAGTAGTAGTAGTAGTAGTAGTAGTAGTAGTCGTAGTCGTAGTCGTAGTTGTAGTAGTAGTAGTAGTAGTAGTAGTAGTAGTAGTAGTAATAGTAGTAGTAGTAGTAGTAGTAGTAGTAGTAGTAGTAGTAGAAGTAGTAGTAGTAGTGGTAGTCGTAATAGTAGAAGTATAAGTAGTAATATTAGTAATAGTAGTAGTAGTGATATCAATAACTGTAGTGGCACAAGCAGTAGTCGTGATAATATGATCATGAACAGGAGTAGTGGTGATAGTAGAAGTCAACGTAGTAGTAGTATGAGTAGAACTAGTAGTAGAAGTAACAGTCATACTAATAGTGGTAGTAGTAATACTAGTAGTAGTCGGAATACTTAAAGTAGTCGTCGTGGTAGTAATTACTCCGACAGAAGAACCCCACATGAGAATCCTCTGGGCGAATCTGGAAAAAAGTCATCACCGTCGTCCTCGTGGTTGGTGAGGCGTCCTGGCTGTCTCTTCTGCGTATATTTCCTCTCGCCTTGGCGCGGGCCCCCCTTCCACTCCTTACGTTGTCCCCATCCTCGCCCCCCTGTTTGTTCCGCGCCCCGCCACCTCCTCCCCTTCCTGTTGCATGAGCGCGCATGTCGATGTTCCTCGGCGCCGTCGCCGCCACGGCCAGCACAGGCGCGTTCTCTACTGGTCACGTCGCGCAGCCGTTGGGACAACCCCGCGGGCCAGGCTGTCGGGACAACCCCGCGAGCCGTTGGCGCGCAAGACCAAGCCGTTGGGACAACCCCGCGGGCTTCGAGCGAGGCGCAGCCGCGCTCAGGCGGAAGGCAGCACGAAGCCCAGCTCTGCCGCGAGCTGCTTCGCCTCCGCCCTGGACAAAACCGCTCTCTTGTCGAACTCCAGGAGCGCCTTCCGCAGGGACGCCGGCGGCCCGCACTCCAGGAACTCTCGCGGCGGCGGCCGCAGGATCAGCATGTTCCGCATGCACGTGGCGCGGGAGAACATGACGTAGAGGTGCAGCCACCACTGCTCGTCCGACATGCCCGTGCGGCCAGCGTCCTCGTCTCTCGCGCAGTCGATGGTGACGCCCTTGCGCAGCGTCTGGCCCTGCGACAGCGTGGAGGTCAGGTAGGACGCGTGCGTCAGGGTGAACCCCGAGCGGCGCACGCTGTGCGCCCCCGAGCTCGGCCATGTGAACTCCCTTTCGCTGGGCCTGAACATCAGCAAGCTCCGCGCCCGCGCCTCGGCCTGACCGTCGTCGTCGGCGCCTTCGGCGCCCTGTCGCAGCACCTCCCAGTGGAAGCGCATGGGAGTGCGTCCCAGTGGATACGTGCGGGCCCCATAGGGAGGGGGCTCCCGCCTGAGACTTCCTCACAATTCACTCAGAGACGAGGCTCCCGCCTGAGACTTCCTCAAATTCAGGCTTGACGAGCCCAAAAGTGACGACAGTTACAGGTTTCCGATGACCCGCTCGGATTACCAACATGATCTGCGCGACCCATAGGGAGGGGGCTCCCGCCTGAGCCTTCCTTAGAATTCACTCACAGACGAGGCTCCCGCCTGAGACTTCCTCCAAATTCAAGCTTGAGGAGCCCAAAAGTGACGACAGTTACAGGTTTCCGATGACCCGCTCGGATTACCAACATGATCTGCGGGCCCCATAGGGAGGGAGCTCCCGCCTGAGACTTCCTCACAATTCACTCACAGACGAGGCTCCCGCCTGAGACTTCCTCCATTTTCAGCAGTGAAGTGACGACAGTTACTCACGGATCTGCGGGCCCCATAGGGAGGGGCTCCCGCCTGAGACTTCCTCACAATTCACTCACAGACGAGGCTCCCGCCTGAGACTTCCTCCATTTTCAGGCTTGACGAGCCCAAAAGTGACGACAGTTACAGGTTTCCGATGACCCGCTCGGATTACCAACATGATCTGCGGGCCCCATAGGGAGGGGGCTCCCGCCTGAGACTTCCTCACAATTCACTCACAGACGAGGCTCCCGCCTGAGACTTCCTCCATTTTCAGGCTTGACGAGCCCAAAAGTGACGACAGTTACAAGTTTCCGATGACCCGCTCGGATTACCAACATGATCTGCGGGCCCCATAGGGAGGGGGCTCCCGCCTGAGACTTCCTCACAATTTACTCAACGATGATGAGGATGAGGATGATGAGTGGTGGTGAAGATGAATGGTGAAGAGGATGATGATTGATTGTGAGTGGTGGTGGCGATGATGATGTTTGAATGAGGATGATGCCGATGCCGATGATGATGATGATGATGATGTTCGTGAGCGTGTGAGAGAGTGCGAGTGATGATGATGATGAGTATGTGAGTGACTAAGCATGTGAGAGAGCATCATCGATGATGCTGATGAGGTTGAAGATGAGAGAGTGCGAGTGAGTGTGAGTGGGTGTGTGTGTGTGTGTTCCTGTTCCTGCGCGGGGTGTCCAGAGAAAACAAGAACCCCACTTTGGATGTGGGGAATAAGATGAGCATGAGCAGGAGTAGTGCTGGTAGTACTAAGCATCATCGTAGTAGTAGTAGTAGCAGTAGTAGTTGTAGTAGTCGCAGCAGTAGTAGTAGTAGTAGTAGTAGTAGTAGTAGTAGTAGTAGTAGTATAGTAGCAGTTGTAGTAGTAGCGAAGGTAGCCATAATAGTAATAGTACTGGCAGTAGTCGTGCCCAAAATAGAAGTAGTAATCGTAGTAGTAGCAGTAGTAGTGTAGTAGTAGCAGTAGTTGTCGTAGTAGTAGTAGCTGTAGTAGTAGTACTAGTAGTAGTAGTAGTAGAAGTAGAAGTAGTAGTAGTAGTAGTAGTAGTAGTAGTAGTAGTAGTCGTAGTAGTACCACTAGTAGTAGTAGTCGTAGTAGAAGTAGTAGTAGTCGTAGTAGCACGAGTCGTGGTACTACCACTAGTAGTAGTAGTAGTAGTAGTAGTAGTAGTAGTAGTAGTAGTAGTAGTAGTCGTCGTCGTAGTAGCTGTTGTAATAATAGCAACAGCAGCAGCAGCAGTAGTAGTAGTAGTAGTAGTAGTACTAATAGAAAATAAATAAAAGCAATGGTAGGAGTCGTAGCAGATAGCAGTCGTAGTAGTAGTAGTAGTCGAGGCACTAGTAGTAGAAGTCATAGTCGTAGTCGTAGCCGTAAGAATATAGGTAACATTGGTAATCGAAATAGACGTACGATTGGTACTCGTAGGAGTAGAAACAGAAATAGTCACCATAGTACAAGTAGTAGTAGTAGCAGTAGTAGTAGTAGTAGTAGATGTTGTATTGGTACTAGCAGTAATAGTAGAAATAATAGTAGTAGTAATAATATTAGCCGTGGTAGAAATAGTAATAGTAATCGTCGTCAATGTAGCCGCAGTAGTGGTAATAGTAGTAGTAGTAACAATAATAGTCGTGGTGGAATTGATACTACTAGCCGTTATAATAGTAGTCGTAGTAGTTGTAGTAATCGTAAGTGCAGAAACAATACTTCAAAGCCCTAGCGATCGTAGTAGTAGTGGTAGCCGTAGTAGTAGTAGTAGTAGTAGTAGTAGTAGAAAAGGCCGTGTCAATGGTAACAATAGAAATGGTAGTAGTAGCAGTAGTAGTAGTAGTAGCAGTAGTAGTGGTAGTGGAAGTGCAACTAGTAGTAGTAGTAATAGTAGTCGTAGTAGTAGTGGTAATCGTGGACGTAGAAGTAGTGATAGTAGTGGTCGATGCAGTAGTATAAGACATAGAAGTAGTAGTAGACGTAGTAGTAGTAGTAGCAGTAGTAGTAGCAGTAGTTGTAGAAGTAGTACGAGTAGCATTAGCAGTTGCAGTCGCAGTAGTAGTAGTAGTGTCGTCGTAGTCCTCGCAGTAGTAGTGGTAGTAGTAGGAGTAGCCGTACGCGTAGTAGTAGTAGTAGTAGTAGTAGTAGTAGTAGTAGTAGTAGTAGTAGTAGTAGTGGTAGTAGTAGTAGTAGTAGTAGTAGTAGTAGTAGTAATAGTAGTAGTAGTAGTAGTAGTAGTAGTAGTAGTAGTAGTGTGGTAGTAGCAGTAGCCGTAGTAGTAGTAGTAGTAGTAGTCGTAGTAATACTAGTATTTGTAGT